GCTTTAAGTCCACTCGATGTGATGTTGGTGACAACAGGCATACTGTGACGAAAGCGTCTTGCACCTGGTGGTGATTCCTGTCCTACAGAACCGATGACAATACTGCAGAGGAAAAATGAATTGACTCGTGCCTGTTTCGAATCCAAGCAACGCTGATTGAAGCCGCGCTTTCTTTTCCTGCTATTGTCTACACCCCTACCTCGACGACAGTACCAAGTGATGAGCGTTACCAAGAGTGCAGAACCCCAAGAGTGTGCAACTCCTGATCTCCGAGCTATGGATGCTGTGCCCCCCCCCCCCCCCGCCCCAGCGCGCTGCCTGCATTACGTAGTGCAATGACGATCCAGCTGCATGGATTTGAGGTTTCCTATGGCTTAGCCTCAACGATTTAACGTGCAATACTGTCAATTCAATGGCAATGCCTGTGCGTGACGCATCAGGTACAACACCATCCGAAGTCCCCGAGGAAAGCGGATTGGAAGCAGGAAACCGTACCAGATCAATAATGACGCAATCGCCCAGTTCGTGGCTACGTAATGCAGGCAGCGCGCCACACCAGATCCGATATGCAGAGTTGCATACTCTTCGGGTTACACATACTGGAGTACAGCCATATACTATTTATCTGCTGCTGGCCACATATAGCAACTGGGTGGCCAAGAATGTTCAGGGGCTTGTTGCACACGAAACCACCATTCTCACAGCTCACAGTGAGTGTGGTCAGCTGTCATGCGAGACTACCAAACGAACGTAACCTGATTTTGTCAATAGCTACATGGCTCATCTGAAGTATGGCTAGCTGTGATCATCAAAGAGATCAAGGTTTGTGCTCCAATTCTACTGATTCTGCATTCCCGAACTATTTCAAACGGGTTTCATACGGCAGGTGCAGACACTTACGCCATCTTTAGAAGTACCACCGGATGGAGCATTGTGTTTAGCCAGCAATTCCTGGTACTGCTGGTCCAGAGCTGAAGGGCAACAAAGTAGGAGAAGAAAATAATTGGAAAATTTGGTGAAAAAATAATTGGAAAATTATAATCAAGCACAAGCTGAGAACCTACCTTCGCGGGACGTTACAGCCATGCTGGAAACACGGGGCAGCGGTCTCCCGCAGAAGGCTCACCAAGACTGCAACAATGGATCCAGTTAGAGGAAGATGGACAACGCCTTACAAAAAAACATGAACACTGAAGTTAGTTTGAAAACTGAAGTCTCTTCGTTCTGTGCGAAAAGTTTGCTTGCTTGCTAGCTTTTGCTGCATACGCATGCATGCAGACTGTATGCAGCGCAGAAACTTTCGAAGAAGAACACGAAATCTGTCCGTCGCAAAAATCTTGACGATCGCGAATCGATCGCCAACTTTTTCGATGCCGCTCTAGTCTAGCTAGCTAGCTCTGTAGCTAGTGCAGTAGCGGCACTGGCTAGTCCGTCTTGAATCGCCATTTTCTTGAGACAGAACACCGTTATCATGGCAACAGACAGTTTTCCTCAAGAAAACTTTCTTCACCACAGGGAGATGCAGATGGTACCTGTGTATAGGCCTCAGCGGCTAATGCTAGTTTTTTTGGGCAAAAATGCTTTTGGCAATGCTAGTTATTTCGGTTGCTAATGCTAGGTTGAGTGCTCGTTTGCAGCATTAATGCTAGTTTCAGCACCAATAAAAAGGAAAGAAAATGGTGTACAGAAATACTTTTTCGGATGGTCTTGTGTCTAATTTCATTGTAGACACGATAAGATGAAACAGGGCACCATGGTAAATTAAAGATAGAAATGCGATACTAGTAGTCGATACACGGTGGACAATGTCTGGCAACTATCTTCGTGTCCCATTACGGCTTGGGAACTGACAGCTCATGGCCGAGCCGACCACGGTTGTACTGGAGCATGAGCTCCACTTCCAGGTGGTCTGTCAGTGTTGAGGCTTGCTGGCTGCTCGTTGCTGCTTCAAGGAGCGAGAAAACTCTCTCGGCAGCAGCAGATGATGGCGGCACAGTGATGACGATCCGGGCAGCATTCTGCCACACCGGCAGTTGAACTTGGTCTCTCCACCAAGAAAGGCGGTCTTGGCCAGGTTGAGTATCAGCAGCAGCAACCTTGTAGGCTGCAAGCTCCACCTTGAGCTGTTGGATAGTGCCATCTTTATCCAGGGGCGGAAAGGCACGGAGACCATCCACTAGAGCGGGAACTGGATTCGTCTTGGCAACGAATATTGGGCAGCACAGCCTGGCAGCCTTGTATGCCAACACATTGGCAAACAGCGGTGAATCCTCATGGTTGAATTTTGTGAGGAAGTAACGAATTGCCGGACGCACGCAACCATTGGCATGCTCTTTCAACTGGTTCTGGCGGCCAACATCGCCGGGTGCAATGTCCTTCACAAGAGCTTCAACATTGGGGTAGACTGCATCTTGGGCAGCAGTAGCCACCTCTTGCAAATGAGTGTATGCATCCACACTCAACATGCCGTCGCCTTCAATGATGTAGGTTTTGCGGACGAATGGTTCCCCAAAATCAACGGTTGCAGCCAGCTCCATACGAAGCATATCACAACTGTCAGGTGCCGTTTCGTTTTGCAGGATGGAAAGGAGGCGGCGACAGGCATTCGGGCTTGATTCACATTCCTCCAAGAAGTGCTGAACATCCCCGAAGTATTTGAGCAGTTGTTCCAGCACTTCCCACAAACTCCACCACCTGGTTGCACTGTGAGACTTCGGTGATACACCTGTCCGTGTCTTCCAAGCGAGTTTAGTGGCATGACTGCGAGAGAAGAGACTGACCCACCATTGGCAGAACTCATCCAGGGTGGGGGTATCAAAGTGGTCTCCAATGTTGTTCAAACTGTGGGAAGCGCAAACTACATCCATGGAACTCGGGTACAGCAAGTCTACAACATGCCGCACTGCAACCGTGTTAACAGATGCTCCATCACGTACGAAGGCAACTGGCTTATTGGCAGGTATCTGAAGGAATGTGCTCAGGCAGGCAATAAGTTCTCTGGCCATCTCCGTTCCTCGCATGCTTTTGGCAAGCACATGCATTCTCACCAGGCGTTGCTGGATGCACCATGATGCGTCCACGTAACGAATGATGATGGCGAATGCCTCGCCAAGATGGGTGGTACCGTCGAAAATACTGCAACATGTTGCGCTTGCTTGATTTCCTCTTTCAGTTTCTCCAGCTCCACCTCAAGCAGAAGGGAACTAGCTGAGCCATATGTGAGCTGTGCGTGAGGTTGAGATTGTTATTCTCCAACAGTGGGCGAAGATGGTCAATCTTCGTAAGTGCCACACCAGCCTTCAAGAAAGACTCAACGACATTGGCACGTCGGAGTACGGTCGTATCACCTGTAGCCTTCGTGAGACCAGTACCTTTGAGCTCGTCTGCTTTCTTCTCCTGGTAGACCTTCCAGGATTTCGTGATGGTCGCTTGGTGGTTCTTGGATTTCACTCGTCGTTCTTTCGACAGGAGATGGTGCTTAGAAAGCACATGGGACCTCACAATACTCTTCTTTGTCTGTACGACAGTGCGACACACGCCGCAGAAGAGCTTCCCGGCTGATATACAAAGATGTTCGTTCGGAAATTCCACTATTCTTTCATTGGGATTAACACGAGGTGCACGTGTCGATTTTCCTTCGCGGATTCTTGTTCTATTTTGACTCTTTGGCTTACATGACCGGTTGAACGAACGATCTCTAGCAATGACTGCTTCCTTTGCCTTTGGTAATGTGTTGGCCACATCATCATTATCATCATCATCATCACCAGTATCTAAATCCGTCTCGTAATCATCTTCTTCCTCTGAAGGATCAGAGTCAGAGAGGACAATTTCAGTTGCCTCCCCACAAGCACTCATGACCAAGGTTTTGACTTCCGAAACGAAAATAACAAGCGCAACAGCAGACTTCGCATGTCTTCTGTACAAACTAAACTAACAAAGTCATCAACTCGAGAGAGAGAGAGAGAGAGAGAGAGAGAGAGAGAGAGAGGTCTCCCCAATGAAAACCTTGAAAACGGTGTGTGTAGCGTAGGTTTGGCGCTTCCAAATAGGCACCCTTAGCATTGAGACGATAACGCTAGCGGTAACGGTATTTTGACTGTGGCAGGACCAAGAGTACCCATGTTGTTACTGTATGGAATATATGTACCCTTGAATCCTGTTGTGCACTTGCTGTGTGCCAGAAGAGGCCCAGACTCCATAATTGGTGCAAACATTACCATATGGGTCATTGCAGCGTATGCCTTGGAAAGGTTTTAGCCCCCAGGCCCCTTTTAATGCTTTTTACCCCGTAAAACCTGCTTGCAATGCTAGAGCAATGCTAGTTTCCAAAAAGGCCTTTAATGCTACTTTTAAGGCTAGCATTAGCCGCTGAGGCCTACCTGTGTAGGCTGTATAAATCTTTGAATTCTCGTGATTTTAGATGGAAAGATGAAGATTTCAGGCCTAACACGCTGTGACTGGCATCTATTCTTCGCCTTCAAAGGCTTCAGTCTTCACCTCTTTTTTATGCACTATTTCCACATCAAGTACTATAGTCTGTTTCAAAAAGATTTACAATCAGGTTTGGGTCTTAAAAATTATGAAGATAAGGGAAATTTGGACAACAAAGTACATAGAATGGCTTGTTTAGGACACGGCAAATTGTTCTGTGAAGGTTTCGGAACAATTGGACCAACCGTTAAGGAGTTAGAATTTCGGCCAGGTTTCCGGCCTTTTCCCATGGTTTACAATTTGCCCAGGAAGCCAGTATCGATTTTTTATCAAAACCCACGATTTATCCTTTCCTTTTTGGCCTTGTGGTTATGAATGCTGTCTGCTGACCATGATTAGTTGTGAGTTCAAATCCCAACCTATCCTCAAGTCAAACTTTTTTTTCATTGTTTTGGTGATCAAGCTGGTACATACAAGACAAAGAAGATGGCTGCACCAAACGACTTGTTGTTGGAGCTCGCGCTTCCTGCCGAACTGACTGACACTTGACTGGCTCACGCCATGTG